ACATTAGTTTGGACAACTTATTACGTTCAGGTCTGCATTATAAAACATATCTTAAACACCTATGGAAATTGACGGAGAAATCTTGCATGCAATTGATGTAAGAGCAACTTCAGCATTGCAAAGACCCCCAGGGCAACTCACTATTGAATAGCCTCCCGTGAACAGTAACTGCCTTTTACATCTTCACCCCTAAACTAAATAGTCATGGCAATAAGTAATAAAATATTAGTATTTTTTATTTTATAAAATAATAAAAAAATATTTTTATTTGTAATTTCGGATAGTATTTTTAATTGGTCTCATTGTACCACGTGTTATTAAATAAAAAATTACAACTCAAAGTATTTGAGAAAATATAAAATTATGGTGTAAGTTGAAAGATAATGATAACATATTTATAGAAAAATTAAATCAATTTTTTTTTTAATTTTTAATTTTTTTTTTCGGATTTTTTTATTAACCTTTTACTTTTTTTTTTAAATTAATTTTTTATATTTTTTTATTAATTTTTACATTTTTTATTAATTTTATATCGTGGCTGCATCACCTTGATGTTAGCCATGCATCACATAGGTTTCAGGCTCGCGCACCACCAATTCGTGCCGAGGCTCTTGCTCGGGCCCTTCCCCTTGCCCACACGCCTGCATGGGCTGGAGGTTGTTGTTGGGGCTATTGGGTCTTGGAAGTCGCCTATCCATCGGGCTAGCACGCCCGGTGGAGTTGCTCTAGTCCGTGGCATGTGAATGCAAAAGACTATTGTGAGAGTAAGTGTTGTATTGTATACACTTGTACCACCAATTGTTACATTTGTTTTACAAGACAAAACTCACACAATATCGATGTGACTACCTGGTCTAAGCACGTCACGTGACTCAACGGTGCGAAAGGAGTTTTATTAAATAAAATTACACCTAATCAGGGACACAAACTTTGAAGAGGAATCGTTTCGGTTCACTGTTGTTATGAAATAAAATGACCATTGACTGCGGAAATATGAAATTGCTTACTAAAGTAAACCAAATTTCCTAGACATTATGCGAAGCTCAAAAGCTTTCAATGTTTTCGACTCCAGGCTTAAAAGTCTACTAATTAACACGAAAAAGTTGGAACTTTTACAATCAGGCTCAAAGCTTTTCAATCCTTTGGACTCCATTCAAATTTGGCAAACTGATTAGTAACTTTGATGGTCAAACAAAATGTCAAAACCAACTACATGACCATTAGCTTGGAATTTGAAACCACCTGCATAACTTTCGGTAGCATGTTTTTGCAACAAACACATGGTTTCAAGTCCAATAATCGCCCGACGGAGAAATTATTCTGTTTCCGTGGCATCATCTGTCCCGATTCTGTAGTGTCACGCTTCCATCGCGAATAAATCTTATGACTTTTTTCAAAGAAATCCAGCACAAAGGAGAAATAACTTTTCATATATGTGATTCCAACTACATGCACAGTTGTGTGGAGTACGTAAATTGATTACCTATAAGCTGTAAGCGGAACAGTCGCGTACAAGTTATGAGATGAACTACATCAGTCACAATTTTGGGACCTGCAATCGAAGGCCTCTTTCTACTTTCTCATAAGAAGAACCACTGTGTGAGCTGCAATACTTCGGTTTTCGCCAAGACTGTCCACCTTCTCATGAGTTTTAGCTTTGAGATTCACAACGGAGGGGTCTGCTCCAAGCAGCTTAGCCAAGTTGGCCCTCATAACCTCTTTGTGTGGGCTCAGTTTCGGTCTTTGAAGAATCAAAGTAGCATCTAAGTTTCCAATCTCATAACCTGCCTCGTGCATCAATCTCACCTGGAATATTCTCAGTATTATTTGATATCTAAAAACAATTTTCATATTAAACTCGGAAAATGCTTTTTAATGTAAAAAACCATGAAAATGTATGAAGAATCGAAGATCCATGACAAGCTTTGCAGCCAGGACTCGGATTTTGAGTCCCGAGGCTTGGGACTCGTATTTCAAGTCCCTGAGGCTGAAGGGAGCATGTGAAACTGGGTATTATAGATGAACAGGCAATCCATCTTTTCAGCCTAATGCCCACACATGCTCCTACCTCACTCAATACTCGAGACTCTAAGCAGGTATTTGGACTAAGGCATACGGCTCATGATTTGGAACTCAAGGCCAGAAAATTGAGATCTGGTATCCAGGACTCAGGGCAGAAGTACTGGACAGAACCTAGGTCTAGACCTCGAGCCCTGGGGTCCAATACTTGAACAGGAGCTTTGCACCGTGTCCTCAAAGTTCAGGGTCGTGTGGCCTGGCAGTGGAGACAAACTCTTGTAACCAGAGACACCATGTGGCAAGTATCTATTGGACGGATGGTGTAACGTTTGAACATGTGGCAATCATCTAGGGCATCGGTGGATGACACTAGGAGTATATATTGGTTGCAAGAGATTTTCTCTCCAGACAGTGCCCGGATTTATGGCTCAATGTTGTAATACATTCTTAAGGTTTTCAATTTCTGAATGCAATCTTATCGAAAAGACTGAAAAGCGAGAATTTTGTTTTCAGATTTTGGACAAATCGTTGTAGACCTCAAAAAACAAAACAATTGTATCGACATCACAATCCAAAAGCCCTCAACTAAATTGCTTAGTCTAACTTTTATAGCTTCCACTCACCATAAGCGACACACAATCAGAGTTTTTTTCATCCTAAACGTCACAACTCATGAAAGACAACCGTTATCGAGAACCAAAGACATAAAATTTTCACAATTGCATGCTATATGAATCTTTAAACTCGAAAATCAATTAAATCAAAACGGTAAGAACGAGGACGAGGAGGAGGATAACTTACAGCTTCTTTGATGAACACAGATGAAGCTGCACCCCTCCACTTCGGATCCGAATCGGGAAATATCTGCCCGATATCCGGAAGCCCCAAAGCCCCCAATATCGCATCCACCACACAATGAAGCAACACATCCCCTACACAAAATTCAAATCCAAAATCCAAAAATTAAATCGAAAACTTGATAGAATAAATAGCAAATGTGAAATTACGGGAAGAAGAGGTAGAATAATGGAGGAATTACCATCGGAATGCGCCTCGCAGCCTCTGTCGTGAGGTATGTCGATGCCGCCGATGATCAGAGGGTACCCGGGCTCCAGCCTGTGCAGGTCGAACCCGTGCCCGACCCGAAAAGGCAAGAGCTTGGACGGAGTGGCGGAAGCCGGAGCTTGGTCGACCTCGAAGGCCGTGCTCGCAGAGGCGCAAAAGACTGGCCTGCGTGGCGTTTTGGGGGTTCGGAGAGACAGAGGAGCCGAGGGTTGAAGATAGTATGGGTTTAGGGTGGGGAAGGGGGAGCAAGGAAGAGGGCGGGAGAGTGGCTTGGTGATTGTGGCGGTAGTGATTGAGGAGGCGCACGCCGGAGTAGCTGCCATGGCCATAGCTGAAGGTTGATCTGGCACAGGACTTGATACGACGGCGTCGTGGTGTATCTGGTTTCTGTTAGTGTTGGCCCTGTTGGGTGTATGGCTGAGTTCAAGTTCACCAAACAGGAGCATCTCGGGATCCATTTGATGAATATTTGTAAATCGTGTCGTTCATCGTACATCGTGCGATCAGTTTTTATGAATTGTATTTAATTTTAAATAAAAAATATTAAAATAATTTTTAACCACATATTATACGATAAATATACATGATTCACGGATCTTCAGAATAATCCGAGAAAGATCCGAATTTTAAGTTCATAGATTTGGATCCTCACCGGATCCCCTCCTTTGGGATCAACGGGATCAAGGCACAAGGACCGTTCATCAAAGATCGTACGGTCACAATTAAATATTTTTTATATTTTTAAAAATAAAGCAATCTCGTTTTACGTAAAAAACATTTAATTATGATCACACAATCTTTGATGAACGATCCTTATATTTTGATCCCCTGATCCGGAGAGGATCCAAATCCCCAAGTTCACAACTCACTCACGGGACCCACTTATTTGTCTCAACTGAAATTCGAGTGGGCAGTGGCATATTCTTCAATATCCTAACTTGGTAATCAAATTATTAATAAGGATTAAGATATAAGAACTTTACAGAAAAGTTTCCGGTGATGTTCATTTTAACGAAAAATCATATTTTTATACTAAAAAATCAATCCTAGTATTATTCACGTTACTATTTATTTTGTTCTTATCATTAAAACTCAAAGTTTTCAAATTTTTCTCATTAATTTTCCTTAAGATTATTTGGATTAACAAATCCAATGAATATTTTTTGGCTGAGTTTTGTTTCTTTAATTGACAAAGTTCAGATAAGGGAAGAGATATACGCAAATGTTTGTAATCAATTGTAAGCATTAACAGACACTTTAGACCTTCACAAATTATGAATCGAAACGATTGATTAGAAAGAGGGGTGTGTTATCCACATATTATTTTTTACTTCTCACACATTCTTTGTTAATTTCTGTCTGTTGATCTTCTTTAATTCATCCGATCTGACAACCGAAAATTAGAAGAGCGTGTGAGAAGCAAAAAGAGGTGTGTAAATATCACATCCCTGGAAAGATTCTTATTTGGTATGCACAATAGTATTTACAACTTTGGCAATGTAAAAAGAGAGTTTTAACGAAACACTTCCGATATTGTTCACTTTTAACGAAAATGACATTTTTACTGAAAAAAAAAAAGTCATTCCTGGTATTATTTACCTACAACACATTTTTGTTATTTTGATTAAAACTCAAAGTTTTCAAATCATTTTCATTAGTTTTACTACGTAAAAATGCCAAATAAGAAGACAATAAAGTGCTTGTGCATTCATTTCCTGCGAGAAGCATGGTTCCTCTCTCAATGGTCTCGTTTGGTACAGAGGATTGAATCGGAATGAATAAGCAACTACCTTCAAGGTACGCTGAAAAAAGGAAAGAAAATTTTGTGGTAGAAGATGGATTACTCAAAAGAAAAAGTATATTCCAATCCTTCCCAAAATCCTCTATACCGAACAAGGTATATAGGGAATAGAACATAAAGCAAAGCATGTCCCTAACGATTTCATTCCTTTTTAAGCACACACAAATCATCCATGTTCCATTCCCGGCTAAGTAGCTTTTACAACAATGCGCAAGCAAATACCCTTGTTTCTGTGACCGAGGCATACTACTATTCACACTGATGGGTACATTGAGCTTCTAATTTTCATACAACAAACGAGCGTCGAGCCCATTTGGAAAGTGCCAGAGGCAGTGTAGCTTACTAGGCATTATCTGAAACGGAAGACCTAAGTTGCTTGCATCCAGGCTCTGGTGAAAGTTTTTCCGGCGCTGCCCGCTTTTGTCTCAACTGCAATGAAAAAGTCCATGAAAAACTAGAAGGAGGCCTCTCTCACCCTCTCTCTCAATTACATAAAGTGCGCGGATGTAATGCCCATCACTCACCTTCTCTTCAGAATGCTGATACATGTGCCTCAAAAGGATATTCTTGGCTTCATTAGTTATCACTGCACAGGGGTTTAGATAGGTCAATTTCACATTGTCAAACAACACGATTTGCAAATGCCTACGAATATCAAGAGTCAAAACCACGTCCACAACAGATCAACTTCCACTTTTCAGGATTGATTTAAAAAAACTTAGCTAGAATGGACCTTTCTTAAAGAGTCACAATGATACAACACGGAAACGAAAATTAATTGACAGAAAATGCGAAAATAGGAAAATAATAAAAGACAAAAAAGATCGAGGATGAAACACTGAGGAAATACATTATTACCTTGATCAGGTGGCGGAAGAGTCCGGTCGTGGGTAGGATGGTAGGTTGCAGGTGTCATTTTCTACAAATAAAAATGGAAGCATCACTTAAAAGAAGAAAAGACAATGCATTTAATTTTGATCACTTGTATATCATAAAGATAACTCATGACATCTTCTCGTTTTCTTTTTCTGTTTTTTTTTGGCTGCTAAAAGAACAAGAAAATAGTAATTAGATTGATTATATCGCTTCAGTTTTTAAGATACATCTCCGAGTACCAAAGGCACACGACATGCTATAAATAATATTTGAGCTATGAATTGCCATCCTAATCTGGGGCGGTGACCAAAGGTACGTCCAACAGTAAAGCAGCAAGCAGTATACAGATGTAATTAAATTGTTTATAATACAATTAGCAGAATATAAGCTCAAATGTAGACTAGTCTGGTGGTTGGAACAGAGAGAGAATTTTCATTAGATAGGCCCGTTTTACCACATCCACACTAACTCAAGCCAAACGATGGCTGATACCCACCAGAATGTGTGAATGCATGATTCAATATCATCATGAAGCAACCTTCTACCAAAATCGTACTTCTCTCTATAAGGTGGGCAGAACTAGAGTTCTGACAAATGCTAAAAAAAGTATGAGACGTAAAGAGCACGTGTAATTTTCTCTGACTTACTTAGAATCTATGTTGGTAATTCATCGGAACGTCTTTCAGTGATTATGTCCTACTGGCTCACAATGCCAGCTCAGTTGGTTTGAAACACATCCAGAATTCAGTTTCCAAGCTATAGCACATATCAACCATTTCTGGAAAAATTCTCAAGCACCAGATGTTTATGTTGAAAATTAAACATAGTAGTGGACAATTCATTATGTGTCAGGCCCGACTTTTCACACTCATTTCAAGTACCCTAAGATAACTAATCATATGTAATGGAGTTAGTTCCACCATATGTGAAGGGCTACGATGGTAATCTAAAAAGCACACGTCTTGCATTTTAAACTCGAATCAGGTCTCTCCACCCATTACCAATGGTTTTGGGTTGGTTGCTCCAACTCCAAGAGCTTCTCAAGAACTCGCCAGTCAGAAGACACGAACAAGCACCTTATATCTGACAGGTTATGGGGACATTCTCTATAGCCCGTATTCAGGATGGTGAAACTAATGTGGGACACTCTTTAAATGCTAGTATTTCTAGCTTAAGTAAGAAAGCCAGTGAATCAGCTTCATGCAAATGGTAAATTAACCATGTAACTTCAATCCAATTGTTAAAAACATATGAGATATTGCATAGCTATGAATAATGCTTCTGATTTCAAAATTCATTCAAACTCTAATGAGAATTGAGCAATACAGTACGGTATATCGTAACTGGAAGAAAGCACCAATCTTGATAATTACACTTATATAAGATCAATGTAATAACAATTCATTTATCACAAAGTCAAACATATAGCATAGCTAATGCATTCATATGAGACATAGAGGAAAGCAAACGAAAAATATTCAAGACGATCATCCAATTCCAAACACTCACTTGCACTAACTTGACCAAATATCATTAAGCCGATTTCAGGATGGGGACATTCAACAAAAGTGGTAAATTCATGACCTGAAATTCTATATTTATAATCACACATAATTCATCATTAAAATGGCATTGCTGCAACATCAATTACCATAAATAATTAAATATAACACCAAAATCTGCACAAAAATATTCCTACTTACGATTAATTATAAAAATGCATTTCACATAGAAATCCAATGGGTTCCATAAGAAACTTACTGCAGAAACCCAGAATTCCTAAACTTTAATTAAGCACTACCCAATTCAGGAAAAAAAAAAAAAAAAAAAAAAAAAGAACTTTAACAAATAAACAAAACTTTGCATGATAATTCAGCATGAAAAAGAAGGCGGAAAAAAGGGTTCGATTCAGAATATCAGAAAGTGAAAACTCACAGAAGGATTTGAAGCATCAGACGGTCGGAGCTGGCTGAAGTTGTGAGGGTTATACGACGGCCAGTCACCGAACAAAGACCCCATAAAAATGCACCTCAATCTAGCGACACCCGGGTTCTAGAACACGCTGGCAGAGCAGAGCTGCATCTGGTGATTGTTTGCCAGTTTATGTAGGAAGGGCTGGAGGACCCTAATTCGTTGTGTTTGTGCCACCGCTCCGCCCGCTGTCGTAAGTTGTGACAGAGGATACAAAACTGAGTTATGTATATATTTGTTGGTAAAATTTGTCATTTTATTAGTGTAGGTAATTCTTTTTTTTTTTTATAATATTTGTGACCTACTCGCATAGATAGATGGTAAAAAGGCAAAATTAGATAAAAGCGCTCCAATTCTACATCTTATTAATTAAACATTTGTGGATTTTTAACTTTCTATTAAAATGCTTTGTATTTCGATTAAGGTGCTTTTATCTTTATCCATGTCATTTTTTAATTCCAACTCATCATTTTAAGTAAATTTTAAAGAAAAGAAATGAAAATAAGAGTTATTTATATTGAAACTGATCAGATCTAAAATCCCTAAATTCTTGGAAAGAAAATAAGTTTGGAATTTGTGATTGAGTCATTATCCCAATAATTAATTGTTAAGAATTTGATATAATTAATTTTCAGTCCAAAGTTTTAATATGAAAAATTATCTTTTTTTTAAGGTCATAACGTACCACTAGATTGTACGTACCAAAGTTAAGTTAACACATTATACCAATACCATGATACATACTAAAACAAGAATAACATAACGTACCAAAATTAGTAATCTATAATGTACCAAAATAATACATACCAAAACTAAGATTATATAATGTACCAATTATGTACCAAGTTATTGGAAAGTTATATTTAATACATATGTGCATTCATATACCATGTCCATAATCGGTACGTTATGTTTAATAGGATGTTAGTTGCATTTTTAGAATTTTAATGATATTTTTTATTTGAGTAATGAACAGTGTCATTTGAAATGAATTATGGGATAATATATCTCCTAGATTTTAGGATTTAGGTTATATTAATTTGTTATTTGATTGGTAAACCAAATATATGTAATTTTTGTTATTAAAAATTAGATAAGAATGTTTGATCAAAAGTCTAAAAGCTATGAATGTTAAATCTAAGAATTTCAAAACTGAGGCACCTATATCAAAACATCGCTAGTAAAAATGTGTAGAGTACATTCGAACTCAGTATATATGATGCACACATTTTTTGTTACAAGCAGGGAGGATGGATTTGAATTGGGACTCAAGTGCAATGATAAATGCATTTTTAGATGTGAATAATTGACTTAATTGATGAAATTATCGTGTATGAACTGTAGCCAGTTTGCTTTGTTTTTGACAAAGAAAAAAATGCAAACCATCTAAAACTTAAAATGTATTGAAGGTTTGTAATCCTTTAGTTTGGTTACAATTTTGAGCTTATGTAAATTGCCTTCAATATACATATTCGCTTTACGCATGTAGGCCTCGTTTGGCCGTATAAGACAATTGGATAGTATTAATAATATCGAAAGGATGTTTGGTGAGATTCGTATTTAAATAAGCACTGGATAATTTAATTCAACCCCACTTATTTTATACTCCTCACACCCGCTTATTTATCCTGTCCAAAACTTATGTATTATTAGTCGAGGAGGAACTTTTTTGCTCACTCTGTACCTTTCGCAGTGCTCTCCTTCCACTCTTTCACATCGCCTGCTATCTCTCATCTAGATCCCAAGTTTGTCTTCGTCGTCTTCTTCTTTTTCTCTCTCCTTTACACACACACCCCTCCCACTTATTTTGTTTTCCTTCATTCTCTGAAACAAAACTTTCCATGGGTTGAAGGAGGAAGACGATGATTCAAATTCTTCTGATTTGAGCTCTTCGGAGGAGGAGGATCCGACGAGGTGAGGGATAGCAATTCAGATCTAGGCTCTAACAAGGGGGCGTTCAATGAGGAAGGGGTGCTGGGCTTCGACGAGGAAGCGTTCAATGAGGAAGGGAGCTGGGCTCCGGTGAGGAAGAGGAGGAGAAGGACAACGCGAAAGGGAGTTGGGCTCCGACAAGGAGGGTGATAGCAATTCGGATTTGTGCTAGATGTTTGATAAAACGTTGATTTATTACCATTGAAAATATTTAATTTCTAGGATATTTTTTTTAGTTGGTATGTGTGTGGATTTGTTTTACAAGGATCCTAAAAGTTGGATTTTTCCATAAATTACTATAATATTTTTGGAATTATGCTAAAATTTATCTCTATATTGGTGAAATTTTGTATCAACTGTATTCGAGTAATGTTGTATACCAAACACAATATAAATAACATGGTCATGTCTGATATTGCACTAAACGATCGATGAATTTAATCAGTATTAGTCGATGACTATTTATCCTATTAGACTGAAATCAATATAGTCTAAGCTGCCAAACGAAGTCGTAGTTCTTTATGCTAACAACATAATTGCGTTAAATTTGAAGTTTGGCTTATTTTTAACAACGCCCCCTAAAACTCTTTTTTTTTTTAATCTCTGTTTGTTTTCCGTAACTCAAAAGTCACAATTTTACTCCTTAAAACTCAAAGTTCGCTCCACTTTGCCCCATGAAACTCGATTTTGATCCCATTTTAGCCCCTGAATCTTGAAAATCGTCTTTATAAAACTCAAAATTCGCTCCACATTGCCTTAGATATGCTAATTTCTTATGTAGGTTTGATTTGGTTGCATCAGACTAATCAATTTCTTTTTTAATTTTTTTTCATTTCTTTTAAACTTAATATTCTTTGATTATTGAATGTTAATGCATAATAGAGATTTATAATCAAATTTATTGCAAAGTGGCATAGTCTTATTGAGTGTTGGGTCCTACATATGTTTTAGGATGTGACCTATAAGTTTTAGAAGAGGAGAGAGTCCACAAGTCAAAGTGGAATGAATTTTGAGTTTCGGTGAGTAAAATGACGGCTTTTGAGTTTCATAGAGTAAAGTAGCGACTTTTGAGTTATAGGGGGCGTAGCTAAAAATAGGCCTTTAAGTTTTATAGTAGGAATTTTTTTTTTTAATGTCATATGAACTTATATTTTAAGCAATTTGTCACATCCCGACCCTGGTCCCTACCACATCCCAGGCTCGACTCCACCGTAGCACGATATTATCCGCTTTGGGCTCCGACCATGCCCTCACGGTTATGTTTCTGGGAACTCACGAGCAACTTTCCAATGGGTCACCCATCCTGGGATTGCTTCAGCCCAATCTCGCTTAACTTCGGAGTTCCTATGGGATCTTGTAAGCCTTACATGTATATTCTCATATCTACCTAGCACGAGATCTTTTGGGAGCTCACTGACACACCCCGACCCGGAATGTGGTGGGGGCCCGGGTCGAGATGCGACAAATTTGTTATATCAATTTTCTAAAATCATTAATTTGTCATTCACCATAAGACACATTGCTTGTTTTCAAGGTTATTTAAGATATTTCAACTTCCACTCCATCCCCTTCAAGATTTTTATGGACATTTTAAGTTTATTTCATAAATTTAAGCTCTATTTTTAAGCACAAACATCTTTTTTGGATGGAAAATTTAACGAATTAGGGTGAGATGAAAAATTAATGATTTAAGAAAATCAATATGAAAAATTGCTTAAAATATTAGTTCATATGAAAAATAAAAAATGTGTATAAATTCATATTACATTTAAAAAAAATTCCTTTATTAAATTATGGAGTTATTGATCCTTGAGTTATGACTATATTAGATTATTAGTTACGAAATCTTGAAGTTTGATGACATATTAAATATTAGTATATTTCGACATACTAGAAAAGGAAAAATATATAGGAAATTATTTAGTTGTAATTTGATTAACAATGTCGGAAAACGAAATCAAAATAAAAGGATTAGGTTTGGGCTCAAATCATCCAAACTAAATTGTTGATTTGAATTGGTTCTGTTCGATTTTTTTAAATTTTTTTGCCTATTCTAAATCGAACCAAAATGTTATATTGTGATTGGCTTAGTTGACGTTTTGGGATAAAATCGATCTAATCTTGAATGTGTTCATTCTTAGTGTTTATAGCCAATTAAGATACAATTTATTTGTGCAAACTGATTCAATTCTAACCATTTTGACTCAAATACACCTTTTTTACATTTAAGTTCAGTCACATTCTGGCGTGTTTGCTAATTAAGAATCGAAGTAAGCAAAAATTAGAACAAACAAAAAATGGGATAAAGCAAGCACTAGCTCCAAAAATCCACAAAAACAAGAAGTCGGTGACCCAAAACGACGTCGCATCTTGTACCAAACACTGTACGGCCCCTCGGTCCCGCTATTAGGTTTGGAGCCTCCGCTCTGAAGCTTCCTTTTCTCTTTACTCCTCGACCTCCGGAACAAAAACAGAGACGGCTGCAGGTCGTGTCTGGGAGGTCGCCGGAGTCAGAGGAGCAAAACCCTAACCATGGCCTCGCCCGAAGCCCCTCTCTGTTACGTCGGCGTCGCTAGAAAATCCGCCGCTTTCCGCCTTATGAAACAAATGGTGCTCCTCTGCCTCTCTTCTGTATAATCCCACATGCTTTTCAATTTTTTGCCATTTTAATTGCTCCTTTTTAATTAAGTAAATTATTTCATGTTTTTTTTTTTTTTTTTTTTGTGTAAATATAGGGATGGGAAGAAGGAGAAGGTCTTGGGAAAGACAAGCAGGGGATCAAAGGTTATGTCAGAGTCAAGAACAAGCAGGACACTACTGGTTTGGATTTCTCCTTCTTTTATATATATATATATTTGAATTTCAATTTTTATCAAGTTTTTTTTGTTGTTTAGTTGTTTGGTTTGAAGTAAAAATCAACTTGGAAATGCCATTTTTTTATTATTTGGTTTTTGGTGAATGGAAACAGAAAAATTATAGGTCTTTGGTTTTATGATTGTGTTGAATAGGTGTTGGTGTGGAGAAGCCTAACCAATGGGCATTCGATACGACCCAATTCGATAGTATCCTCAAAAGATTGAAAGTTGTAAGCTTTTTACATTTTTTTTTATCGTATTAATTCAATCAATTTCAAGCATACTTAAAGCTTTCCCGACGTGTGGTGTATTGTATTTATTTGTTTGTTTTGCTTTTGATTGGCAGCAAGCAGCGCAACCCAGCGATGAAGGTATGTATATGCCGAGATTAACTTTGTTGTATATGAGGAATGTGAGGAATTATGATTTAGTAGTTTGAGGAGTATTGTGTTTGTTTATCTTATAGTTGCTGAGCCGAACGCCACTCAAGAGGAAAGTGATACTGAATTGCCTAGTGATGTTAAGGAACCTGTTGCCAAGGCTACTCGCCCACAGGGAAGGTTGGTTTTTAAATCTTTTAAATTATTGATTTTTCGTTAGATGTTTTATTGATTCTAAACCTTTTCTACCTGTTGTCTATGGATATCAGATATAAGAAAAGAGAACGAGGAAAGCTTGTCAATGCTTATTCTTCTAAGGATATTGAAGGAATTCTTGTAAGATTTAACCCTTGAAAGTTATTATCTTGCAAAATGAGTATACATGTAACCGTATGTGGTTTATGAAATTTGGATGCACGGTTTCGAGTTCACAATTGGCACGCGTTTTGTCATTACTGACCGTGATTTTAAATGCATACTGCAGGTCAGAAGGGCGGCGTCTCCAGAGATTAATTTTGATCTGGATGGAGAAGTAGGGTCAGACAAGGCATCTGAAATTCAAGTTATATTCCCTGAAGGTAGTAACCTGGATTAGATGTACATAGTAGGAAATTAACCATTTAGTATTTCGAATCACGAGTTGACTCCTAAGATCAATGGACCCGATACCTGATTCTTGTTTTTAGCATCACATTTAGTTAACTTTCCTTGGTTGTCGACATTTTCTGTCTGAATTTTGTTGCATTCCTTCTTAGGTCTTCATATTTATGCTCCCTAATGTATTTAAGTCTTGACTCATGAAAAGTTTAAGGGGTCCCAATAGGAAGGGAGACACCCGAGGCCCGATCAAACAAAAGAAAAGTTTAGGGTTATCGATGAAACAACACCACTGAAACTCTTACATTAGGCAGACTTACTCTATAGACCTTTGTTGAGACATGAGAATGCTCTTCAAGGTGACCCCATAATAAATATTTTGTTGGGCGCCTACAATTTAAAGGTAAATTTGATAGAACACCTCAGAAACTATAAGTTTTATAGAAAAAACACTTCAAGTGATCAATTTAATTGTAGAAAAACCCCTCATCTATCTACTTTTCACGCTGCAAATTTATTCATAGTTGTGAAATTCCTTATGTTGTTACAAAGTAAGTTGGGTTTTCCTCTAAAGTTTTGAGTTTGAAGTGTTTTTCGCCAAAGTGTGATGATATAAATTTCTTACATATGAAAAGGCCACAATTTACTATCACGTTCTACTGTTCAATCATTAGTTTATTTTATGTGGTTCTCCTTTTTAAAGTAGATTCTTCTGTGTAAAAAGCAAGTAAATTTTTGTAACAAGTTTTTATGAAATTACTCTTTTTTTTCATGCTCGTGCTCTTTGGTTGCTTGCTTGAACCATTGTTTTGTGTAATGATCTTATCACATTGTTGCAGGAGAAGTATGCAAAGAAATTCCTCTAGATTGGTGGGGCCATAAATATGGGTTTATTCGCGGAGGTTTGCTTGGAGCAGAGATGAAAAGAAGAAAATTAGAAATGTCTCAAAATGGTAATGAGAGAAAAATGTTTCACGAGGATGATCAAGTAAATCTTTACAATCTTGTTCAGGTATGTACTTTCCTGGTTGGATCCTTCATTAATGTGCATTACTGGAAAGAGTTGCATTATCGGTTAGACGATCACCATGTGCGCGTCTTATGTTTCCAGGATAAATCCACAACTGGAAAACAAGGACTAGGCATCAAGGACCGGAAAAAGAAAGTAGCTGGTTGCTACTTTGAGGGAAAAAAGACTTCATTTAATGATAGTGATGATGAAGATTCTGCTGATCTTGGTTCTTCTGTGAAACAAAAAGGAGATGAATCTTTGAAAACGGGAAGTAGCAACGAACCAAAACTGAAGCTGAAAAAGCTCTGTAAACAGCTCCTTCGTGAGGTGAGTCCCCCAAAATTGCACTTGTGATTCTCATAATTTCTCCGGCACTAATTCTATTCCTTGTCCAGGCATCTGGAGAGTCATTGAAGCTGAAAACGATGAAGGCTTTGATTGATGAACATTCATCTTCTGTTTTCTCCGACTTTTCTTCAAAGAGAGATGCTCTTGCTTACTTGAGACAAAAGGTACGTCACTCAAAAATTTTTAAGCACTATTCTCATCCTAGTGCAAAATGAATTGTCTTAATCTGAACCATGTTGCATTACCAAATTCTCACAATATGGCCTCTATTTTAATTGTTTGAGCTAAGAATGGCCTCATTTGGTGGTTAGTATTGGATTGAATTGGATTGGGTAATTGACTAGAGTCAATGCATCTTGAAGCAAGAAATGGATGTCGTCTTCCAAATCTTGTCCAAATTGAAAGTAGAAGATGGATTAGAGATGGAAGTAAACTCGGACAAGATTTTAAAGTTGACATCCATATTTTGCTTCAACATACATTAAATACAGTGGCTAGTCCAATCCAATACAAATCAGCAAACGAGGCATATAATGCTTTTATTAGAGCACTGAGACCTTCGTAAAGTTAGGTTTATCTCATTGTTATTGAGGGGGTGCTTAGTCACCAGTAAAGCAAGGACGCGTGCTCTTTCCGAAATTGGAGTCTTTCTTTTTTCCAGTTTATTTTTCATATCGTCTTGTCTACGCAAGCCATGAACTTGTGGGTTGTGTGTGCAGCTGGAAGGCAGCAAAACTTTTGTGGTGGAAGGGAAAAATGTGAGTCTCACATCGAGGAGGGGCTGAAGATTTTGTTAGAAATATTGAGAGGTCATTCTTTTCCTTAGCCGATTTTGAGACTTAAGCATCATGATCTGCACATTGCAGATAAGTCGAGTTTATAACCAATATCATATAACGATCGCCCTTAGTACTGTTGCAGTAATCAGTTGAAAGAAAATCAAAGTGTCATTTTTAGTTCTGTTGATTCTATTTCGGTGAGAGGATAAGACTATTTTATACATTATTTCTAGAGTTGTTTTCACATTGTTATGACTGTTGATTGAAATTAGAAGATGCACTTCAGTTTTCTATGAGCGCTTTGGTTTCGTCATTTGCGTTCTTTTGTCGCCATCTCAAGGCGACAATGCAACCAAAGCCTACACTTCACATGGCTAGAAGCTCGAGTAACAGTGATGATTCTGGGTTTTCTTCTGTTCAGATGTAGTTGGCTTGCACAATTTTTCTTGCGATGAACTTACCCAGGTTATCGTAACCTTGAGAATACAGAGCTTCAATTTCTGCCCTCTGACCACTCTCAACCATTAATGTCAGCTCTGCCCTGTAATTCTCCTGCAATCCAGATATTTTCGGAACCTATTTCAGCGAAGTACCGAAAAACTTGAATCATTCAGTAACGTAAAAATACAGTTCTATGCGATGCAGGATAAACAGTTAACCTGCAAGATCTTGGATGAGATCAAGCTCTTAGCAATCTGGAGGTCCTTTGGTTTCAATGGAACTAAAGCTTGTTCGGGTATGAGCTCTAGGTCTTCGCCTCGCAGCCCCAACCACTTCACGTTGCAAGCTAAAACACGCCATAAACCGATCGACCTTGTAAGTTTCTTTCTACGTAAGAACAAATTGTTATTCAGCAGCAGGTAAACAGGAACAAGATTACCATATCTGTAAGCCTCCAGGCCCATCCCTATGCTTCCAAACTTGAATGTGCATAAAATAGCTAGCCCAGCTGGGTTCCTTCAGTAAATATCCAGCACATCAAAGCCGAGAACTCGAAATGTTAAAAACTGGAGTGTGACACGGAGAAAAGGGCATCCATACCAATCAACCAGTGCTAAAATTGGCAAGTCGGGAAATGCTCTGCTCATCCGGTGAAGAAGAATCCTGCATTCAACAGTGTCAACGGCCTACTTAGTTCATAAAAGCGATACTGGGTATTTCAAACAAAAAGGAAAGCGATATTGGGGAGAGGGAGTCGAATTTAATTGCAGCCGAAGTACTTGAATGACGAGCACTTTGGGAAAATCTTTTAACCGCTTAAGCTATAAGCCTTGAGTTCTGGGTATTTGCTTTCAGGAAGTAGAAATTTACCTTGTTGCTATATCCGGGTACCCTCTGGCAGTGATCAGAATGCTGGGAATTTGGTTGAACACGCGGTCCTCGACCAACCGCTGGAAAATTGCATGCTAAAAATATCCCAGTAAGCGAAAAACTATTGCAAAATTTAGAAGCTGGGGAGGAACAATCACAATCGTAGTCGAAATCGGAGAAAGTCAATAGAAAAGTACCTTCTCCACCACAATGATGTACCTCGCATCCGTTTTCATCATCAACTTCTCCAAGGAATTCAAGTCCCCAGAGATATTATGCCCCGAAAACCGACAGGCAGCACAGTCCACAACCTCTTGGTTTGGCTCCTGTTGCATGATTAATCTACTAATTAATTAAGAGTTAATAGAGTCGATTTCTCCACAGACATGTAAACATTTACAGATTGCAATGTGGATTCACCTGCAACTGCAAGCGACCAGCAACAAGCCCTCGGCTAGATGCCATGATCCCGAGACTGTAACGGCTGCAGCGCAGCAATGCCACCACATCTGCACTCGTATAAGTTCAATTTTCAGCGTTCCATGTGTTTGAGGAAAGTACTGAAAGACTGAAACAAAATTGAAGTCGATACTGGTGAAGGGGTTCACCTTGGATAGTCCGATTCACCTGCGACTGAGACGAGAAATAATCCGGTGAATCGCAGAGCAACTTGTAGAAGAGCTCCCTCTGCGTGACCTTCTTATCCAGCCCCAAAATCCGAGAGCACATCGCCATCAACTTCCATACTGTCACAGTAAATTCTACATTACAAATCCAAACACAAAAAAGCTTAAATATACACAAATAAATATAATTGATTTGTAAATCAATCAATATATTAACCTCTAATAAAAGCTCTGGCGGCGTTCGGCCGTGAGAGAGACCTGGTGCAGAGAGCGTTCGTCAGGAAAATCCACGAAGTCTGAGTGAGCAGGCCTTGATTGAAGCGGCGGTTGCTTGATTTTCTGGTGACCTGTGGATTTTCAATTTTTGAGTTATTTTCTGTTTGGCAGGGGAGAAAATGCGAATTGAAGCTGCGGAAAATTGAAATGAGGAGTTGAGATAGGTGATTACGAGAGGAAGGTCGGAGATTGCGGGAGCCGGAGAGGTGAGGATTCGGAGGAAGTTGAGGACGGCGACTTGGATTCTGGCAATGGCCTCCGGCGGAGCGAGGATGTCGGCGTAGCAGAGCTGTTGATCGGAGAAGAAATTCAAGGAGGATTTGCAATCGTCTTCCATTTTTTTGGAATTTGGGGAAGCAGGTGCCCTCTTTGATCTTTCACAGATATTTGAATTATTGGCGCGCTCGATAGATATTGATGGGGTGTCATTGGGCTAAAGATCTTTTTGTTTTGTGGTAGCGTTTCCGGGCTGTTTCACTGCTCTCATTTTGAAAAAGAAAATAGGTTTGATCGCGTTTACTAAGACGCGGACTACACTTTACGGACTTTAGGTGTGGACCATACGTTGTGGATTTTAGGTGTGGACTGAATTAGATCCGTTGGATCAAATCTGAACGGCTGAAAACAAATCCATCAAAATGAGCTTAGGGTGAAATCGTGTCCCAAATGACCCTCATTAATTAAAAACGGTACCTGCAACTGTTTTGAAATTTTGGAATTTAAACTCTCGCTCTCCCCGACAACAGTTACTTTAACGCAATACTCCCATCTCCTGTGAGCCATTTCAAATTCTTTCTCGTCGAAAACTTTGTTCCCATTTGAAAATTTCCTTGTCGTTCGAAACCATGTCGTAATTGTGTTGTGCTTGTTGTCTCTGACCACACTGCAGTTCCACACAAAAGTTTAGAAAAATCAGGCAAGTTTATTTGAGGTTGTCCAGTTGGTTTCACATAAAGGATGCGGTGCCTGATTGATTGAGTTGGGTTCAGAGTCATTGTGTGAGATCCCATAATTTTATATATTATTTAGAGTTATTAGAATGAACTATAGTTAGACGTTATGCAGGTACCGATCAATTATCACATAATATGTCCCATTTTAAATTATTATCTTTTTCTTTAGCAGCCATGTAGGTTACAGGAGGTGGCTTAACAAGGCCATGCAATATGAGGTAATGTGATGTATTAGGAGCGAATAAGCAATCTAGTTGCTGAGTGTTCCAAGCTATAATTTGGACGTGGCTTCAAATAACCTTAGGTTGCTGCACCGTATCATTAATCCTTTACTGGGTTGACACCTTGCATAACTAGTGACTAAGATCTTGATACTACAATAGGTATCGCGAGGAAAGTATACCTTCATACACACGTAAGAGATTACGGATAGGACTTCATATATTTTATTGTATATTTTCCTTGGTCCCTAAGTGTTGGAGCCAAATTTTCCTACTATAAATAAGAGTAGTGCCGTATCATTTTTTCAAACGTGAGTACACTGAGGAATGTTAGAGTTTGCATGCAATGCATGCAAATTGTTAGAGAGAAAAAGAAATAAAAGGAGTTAGCTAGGGTTGGTTATGTGGGAATCGGTATATAGTTCTCTTGCCAAAGCTTGGATTATCAAGGTGAGTGGTTTATGTAATGTGTTTAAAAGTTCTTATTTCGATAAATGAAAACCACGAACTATTGTGGGTTTTATCTATTTATAAATCTCTATCTATTTCAAGTCAAACATTTTGGATTTGTTGAAATGTTTTGGAGTTATTATATATCGTGATATGTGGATTATTTGGAAATGTTCATGGAGCATGAGAACTTTAGTGTTGCATTAATCTGAGGGATAAATGTAAACTGCATACGGGGACAATAGGGCAGATGGCCATTAGGGGTCACGTGGTGAGTTACAATTTATGAAGGATATAATGGACACATAAAGTGATGATGTGATACGGAATTATGTGGCTAAAGCATTGATATTATTATTCTATTTTATAGTGTGATTAAAATGGCAAACTTGACTAGCATATTACATATTCTACTCATTGAGCGACGGTGGTTGTTGCTCACCCCTCACCTATTATTTTACAGATGAGTTATTTGGCATGATAGGTGTTAGAAGAGCTAAGGTTGGGATTGAGGAGAAGTTTAAGGATTTTAATTTAATATTTTTGTACACCGTGTAAGGATTTTGGAGTTATTTTTATAAGAGGAGTTTGTTTTTTCAACCCGTGTCAATTTCCTTTTTATTTTTGAGCTTTTAACTCACATTTTGGATTCGGATTCAGAGTTATTTTTCCTCCGACCCCGGGTCTAGGGCGTGACACATTACTTCCTCAGTACTCCTCATACTTCATACCCCAAGGTAAATTTGAAATTTGGTGAGTTTGGAAATTTGGAACCTTAGATATAAATTTGTTGTTTCTGTAAATTTGATTAATTAATCTAGTGTTTAAGGTTCATTATGCATGTTCGTTGATGAAATTAGTTGAAATTGGTGGATATTTGTGGAATTTTTGGGTTGGATGCGGGCTTATGAAATGTTGTTGACAGGTTGTGTACAAGGGCTAGGTCGTTCACTTTTGTTTTGTTGAAGTTCTATTGTTGAGTTGGGAACAATTTGTGTTCATGAAAACTTTGTTAATTTTCTGAATTAACTTGATATTGCTTAAGTCCTGATGCTTTGTTTACGGTAGATGTATTGTTATACAAACTTGTTGACAGGTCGTGTTAAGAGTATACAATGTTGAACTTGGCTATGTTTAGAGTATATATTGTAGAATTTGATTATGTTGAACACTTGTATTGTTATGTACAGGAGATGGCAACTTAGGGCGGTTTCAAGTAGCAACAAAAGAGGAAGAACCGTATAAGGGAAGGTTAACAACCCTTCTCAACCAAGTCATGTGCTAGGAGTCATGCGTCAAAAGTTTAATGACGCACAACTTGCTACCTTTAGGGCATCATGCTTTGGACACTTAGAGCATGTCGATAGATTGGCCTTCAGTGGCTAATTGGTGCATGAATTGTCGTTTCGTAGAGTGGATAATAAAGGGGTGAAAGACCTAGAGGGACTCATGTATTTGATAGGCTGTGAAGGGACCTAGTTTACGAAGAAGGATTTTCACCTCATTATGAGTTTCGTTGTAACAAATAGTGGATGCGGCAAGGGTTGCTCCACCCTTGCTGTGGCCTTGCCTTTCTCCTCTTCTTTGTGCAGCAGCTTTTCATCCTTCTTTTGGCTTGATTTGGGTGGTTGTGGGGTGGTTCCAACTTCCTTGCCACTTTTTAATGTGATAGCATTGGCGGTTTCAAATCCTCCTCGTGGATTCACAATGGTTGAACTAGGCAGTTTGCCTTGTTCTTTAAACTGACCCATGAACTCCACGATCTGCCCCATTTGCTTCTTCAATTCATCCACCTTTTTAGCTTGATTTTGCATCTCTTTGGCTTGATTTTGTACTCCCTGCATCAAAGAGGTGAGTAATTGAATAACTTTATCATTATCCAAAGACATACCTGAATTTGGTTAAACCGGAGGTGGTTGAGGTTGCATTGGTGTGAATGCCTTTGAAATATCCCAGGGGGTGGTGGACGAAATCCTCCTTGTTGTTGAGGTTGTTAAGGCTCCCTCCACTTCATGTTTGGATGATCTCTCCATCCTGGATTGTAAGTGTTGGCGTATGGATCATATTTTGGCTGAGTTTGACCTTGAAAGCCTACAGCATGGGCACTTTCCCATCCTCCATTCTCTATCAATTGAGGATATTGCTCAAAGGGGTGTCCTTGCATAGTGCACACGTCACATACACTTGCTTTTTTCATTTTGGATCCATCAACAACCTATGACATAAGAACAGTGAGATTAGCCAATTGAGATTGAATTTCAGAAATTGCACTTACCTCATTCACTTGTGGTTGTTGCCGTGGGGTGTCCCTTTGTCCAACTCATTTGTATTGTTGTGCATTCAAGGCTCGGTTTGCAATTAAAGTCTTGGCATCAATTGGTGTTTTGTCAACCAAAGCTTCTCCCGCTGATGCATCTAGCATTTGTCTCTCAATTAGAAGAAGTCCTTCGTAGAAATATTGAATTAGAAGCTCTTCTTTCATTTGATGTTGAGGGCATGATGCAACAAGAGTCTTGAAACGCTCATAATATGCTGGAAATGACTCTCCTTAGTTTTGTTGAATGCCACTAATCATCTTCCTCAAAAGAATGACTCTTAAAGTGGGGAAGAATTTTGCTAAGAATGCTCTCTTCATGCTTTCCCAAGATGTGACAGTTCCAGGTGCTAATTCATAGAGCCAATCTTTAGCCTTTTCCAAAAGAGAGAATGGAAAAGCTTTCATCTTCAAAATATTCCCATCCACATTAATGGGTGTCATACTCGAGCATACTACTTCAAATTTCTTTAAATGCTTGTTTGGATCCTCCATGGACAGCCCATGGTACTTTGGAATGTGATGTAGCAAGCTAGACTTCAATTCGAACTCATCGGTCTTGTCTTGAGCTGCCCTAGGATATTGAATGCATAGGGTTACGACATTGTCCAATCTCAAGGTTGAAAGTTCCTTGATTGTTCGATTATCTGCTACCATATCTTATTCTTCTCTAATTCCCTTGCCATAACCTCCTCTTCCTCTTCTAGTTCTTGTTCTTCAAGCTCAGGTTCAGGGCTAGGTGGATTAAATTCTTGTTGATCTTCTTCCTTCTCAAAGTCCGTTCAAAATCATCATCCAAGTCTAAGATATTTGCACAAACAGGTTGAGAGCTTTGAGTCATAAACTAGTACCTAAAAACAAGAAAACAAAACAAAGTCAAAAACTAAGATTAAAAGACACGAAAAAGAAACAAAAAGAAACAACGGGGGATTAGCAAAGTTGCTAATCCTCGGCAATGGCGCCAAAAATTTGATGTGATATCAACTAGCACTCAAATAAACCCTTTTATTAACAATTGTAGTAAATATGTAAGTAGGGATCGTTCTAGGTCCGGGATTAGGAGGGATTGCTAATCTACTCTAAACTGACTTAAAAACACAAAACTAGGCTTAAGAACACTTAATTAGACTCAAAGAACTCAAAACAAACTAAAAAGACTCAAAACAACACAAAACAATAAAAAAGACTCAAAACAGACACTAGGACTTTAGACGAATTCTAACTTAACTTTGACTCAAAACAACTAAAGGAAACAAATATAAACAGGTTCTAACTAAGTAAACACGAAATATTAAAAGGGGGGGGGGATTGATTTTGACGAACTTAAAGTAAAACAAATAGATTTAAAGACTTAAACAACTTTGGACGAAATTAGGTGAATTTATGGGTGATCAGCTAGCTAGAGGGTCCTTCTCTACACATGACACACTTGCATACAAATTGATTTCCAGTTGCTTTTTCAAT